ATACCGAGGAGATCAGCGGCAGGGGTTGAGACGGACTAAAACCCTCGCATGCTCTCAAATGAAACGGGGTCATGGAGATTCATTTCATTTTAAGCGGATTCTGAGCAGTGAAGCAAACCAATAATTCCCAACCACTGTGTATTTTTTCCTCATTTCAAATGAAAAGGATGATGATGAATTTTCTAATTTTGAGGTGTATTTTTTTTGCAGGTTTAATACCAGGACCAGAAGCAATGGTTTTGTACTGTCGTACTTTTTTTTTTTTTTTTGGATCATGAACAACAACCACAGGGAGGTGTATTTTAAGTGTGGTTTTATTGTTCTTAACGTCTATAAAAGTGGGTTACAACTTGGCTACAACAGGAAAATGAAGGGTGACAACAGTTGAGAACCATTGCTTTCAACTCTCTTCTACACTCTTCTTCTCTTCCTTCAACAAACTGACGTTCCCCCCTGGAAGACCCTCCAGCTCTGCCAGCTTCACGTCCAGTTCAACAACAACAACAACAACAAGGTACATGCGACCCCTCCCCCCCCCGCCCCCACCCACTCTCTGTCGCCAACACCTGCTCTTATGTGGCTCAAAGTGGATGTAGAAATCCTTTAAAGATGTCACAAAAGTTCTCCGTTTCCTTGCCATCTCTGCAGCGGATTTGAAGAGCACAGCAGCATCATGCAACAGAAGCTGGAAAAACAGGTAGGCGGCGAGGCAAGATTGTGTCACGAATGACTTCAGCCGAAGTCTGTCATCTCTCTCTCGGTGCCCCTTGCAGAGGTCGTTGCTGGAGCAGAAGCAGCGCCGGAAACGGCAGGAAACGCTCATGGTGCAGCCCAACACGGAGGCGTGGCCCCGGCGGAACCGCGCGCGCCACGGCGAAGAGCAAGCCCCGCTGGTGGAGTCGCATCTCGGCCACGCCAACGACATCACTGCGGACGGTGAGAGCAGCGGGAGACGGGGGAGCCCCCCCCGGATTCTAACCAACATCTCTTCCCTGTAGGTATTAATGGCCCGGCAGCCTTTCTGGGATCCAAAACGCCCCAAAAAGGAATGAAAATCCAAATCGCGTCCGTCAACCACTCCCAGGGCCAAGTGAAGACGACTCAATCCCCACTCAAGGCCCGGCCTCCGCCGCCTCCCTCTCCCGCCGCGGCCGCCGGGGACACCGAGAAGGCCATCGACGCGGAGACGCTGCACCATCCCAAGACGGACATCCACGAACTACTGCGGAAACAAGGTGACGAGACGAGACTCGGGAGCTTTTTCACGACTTGTTTGCGGAGTAAAATGTCCTTGGCCAGGCCTGTCGGGCAGCATGAACTTTGATGAATCCAGCGGCGACGACGACGACGACGAGCGGCCGCAATCCCCGACGCCCAGCGCGCAAACCACCAGGCCCGCCTCCGCCAGCAGCGCCAAGGACCCGGTGAGCGGTCTCCTCGACGGTGACGCTCGCCATCTCTTGCGCCCCATCTCACGGGTCTTGTGCCGCCGACTCTCGCTAGGAGGCGGTCACCGGCGGCTCGCCGTCCTCCAGAAGCTCGCCTCTTTTAGAGGTGTCCAACTTGGATGAGTTTGTGCTCCTTCCAGCTCCACGTGGCGCCACGGTCAAATGCCGAATCACCCGCGACAAGAAGGGCATGGACCGCGGCCTCTACCCGACGTACTACATGCACATGGAGAAGGAGGATGGCAAGAAGGTGAAGCCCACTCGCTTCCATTCCAAGTCGTGCCGCTTGACCGACTTCTTTGTTTTCCTCCTCAGGTGTTCTTGTTGGCAGGGAGGAAGCGAAAGAAGAGCAAGACGTCAAACTACCTCATTTCGGTGGACCCGACCGATCTCTCGCGAGAAGGCGAGAGCTTCATCGGCAAGCTGAGGTAAAAAGCAAAAGAGACGACGCGCATTCCACTGGTCGAGGTTGTGACGGACGTTCCTCCTGCCTGCCAGGTCCAACCTCATGGGCACCAAATTCACCGTGTACAACAACGGCGCCAACCCCTGCAAGAACATCGCCGCCATGGAGGACGGCAGCACTCGACAGGAGCTGGCCGCCGTCTGCTACGTGAGGGACACGCGAAAAACCAACACCTGACATCAAATGACCCCATGCTTCATTCGTTGTTCTCTCCGCCGCCCGCCAGGAAACCAATGTCCTGGGATTCAAGGGACCGCGCAAGATGACGGTCATCATCCCGGGCATGAATGCCAACTTTGAGCGAGTGCCCGTCAGCCCCCACAACGTGAGTCACAGACCAAAGACCGTTCGGTCCCAGTGACAGAAACCGTTTTGAGTTCACGCCAGTTTGACACCGCCTCTCTTCTGTTGCTCCTCAGGAGCAGGAGAGCCTGCTGAGCCGCTGGCAGAGCCGCTCCTTGGACAACCTGATCGAGCTTCACAACAAGGCGCCCGTGTGGAATGACGACACGCAGTCCTACGTGCTCAACTTCCACGGACGCGTCACTCAGGCCTCCATCAAGAACTTTCAGATCGTCCACGACAATGACCGTAAGTGTGCGTCAGACGCCCCGGATGCTCAGATGTCCTTCACCTCCGCGCAATGACCGACCTGTCTCCTCATGCGCACATCAGCCGACTACATCGTGATGCAGTTTGGCCGAGTGGCTGAGGACATCTTCACGCTGGACTACAACTACCCCATGTGCGCCCTGCAAGCCTTCGCCATCGGCCTATCCAGCTTCGACAGCAAGCTGGCGTGCGAATGAACGGGAGCCCGCCGGTTAACTTTTTTCAGTGAATGAAGATTCCGGTCGGACGCCGTCTGAATCAAATTGGGCCGTCCTGCAGCGCCATCCTCAGGACAAATGGCCTCATAAGACATACGGCATCATTATGACTCATATTCTATTATCGTTTTTGTCCTGGATGACAAGTGCATTATTCTTATGGTTATTGTGTTTCTGTGAATAGCTTTTACCTTGTGACTTGTTGACACACTTGCAAAATTGCACAGATTATAAGTACTGTTAAAAAAAAAAAAAAGTCACTATGTTATCATAAATTTCAATAAAACGGTACATAATTTTGAGCAACAGCTTCTTTAATAACGACACAATTTCAACAATACTGTTTTGAACTAAAGTGCAATGCAGTTTGAACAGTAAACCAGATTTAGAGGGAAGACTTTTGAACATGCCGAGAGTGGCACTCGGGGAACACCTCGAATACGTTTTACAACAACTGGTCACAATTTGTTCCCCGAATAAAACGTTTGAAACATCGAAGGGAACTCACAGTTGTTTTTTAACCTCTCCATGATTTTCGAACAGTGTTAAGAGAACGGAACACTCACGGAGATTTGACGCCCCTCAGATCTCGATGACGCCATCCAGGTCTTTGTACTTGATCAGGTAGTACGGGTAACACTGGCAGTTGTCGAACACCACAAAAACTTCGGGGTTGGCCACGCAGTCTACGCAGGCGTCGTAGAAGTCGCTCCCCGAGTTGCACGAGGGCGGGCGCCGGTAGTGGGACTGCCCCCGGGTCACCTTCCCCACCAGGACTTTGGCCAGGAAGGTGTGGCGCAGCCGATGTGGCACCGTCTCGGTGGTGTATTTGTGGGACACGCTGGCCGAGGTGGCGAAGTAGGAGCCGTGACCCAGGAGCTTTCCGTTGGTCCCCGCCAGGCGCGGGTCAAAGTTGTTGCGACAGATGTACTCGGCTGCCTCTTGGGTGGTCCCGTGGAAAAGGTGACGCTCCAGAAGCTCGTTGGAGTCGGCGTGCTTCTTCTGCATGTACACCTTGTGCCTACCATTAGACCCGTTTGCAGTTTGTGAACAAAGATGATGAAATTAGGATGGGCACGAAAAAAAAAAAAAAATTTAAATCTTCAAAGCTTCCACACACATTGTTGTGACTCATTGAGGCGCGTGCATTGTTTTGCATCGACGCAAAATGGTTGATGCAAAACCATGCCAATTCTATGTTTACCCCCGAAGGTGGACTTTTGAGAGGATGACCCTCTCTCTCCCTTTGTGTCCCTGCAAATTTCCTAAGTTCTGAGGTAGCATCAAAGACAGGACGGGTACATCGCGTGTCCTCTTACCTTTGGTACTTGTCCCAATGAAGGAAGTTTTGGATCTGCTGGATGCCGACGATATCCGCCTTGGTCTCAGGCAGGCTCTTGTAGAAGAGTTTTCGGACCATCAGGAAGGCTTGCGTGCCGATTGGAACGTCAACCAGGTGGCAGTCCTGCTCCGAGGCCAGACACCAGACGGGGGGGTACCATGTTGCAAAGTCCTCCAAAGGGTCTATGTTGAAGTTTGGTTGGTAAGGATACTGGATGGGAAACATCTGGACCCATGTCCTAAGTCGGGAGAGGTGGGAGCAAAGTCCATCATGGCAAAAAGGAAACGCAAAACTTGATGGGACAGGTTACCCACTTGAGGTGAGGGGACAGGGACTCGGGCGGGCGGTATACTGGTCGACAGCGGATGTCCCTACTTAAGCCCGAGGCTAAGTTGGTCTGCGTCATGCTGGTGAAGTCCACCTTGTACTCTTGCGAGCCCACCGTGATGGAGCACTCCACCTCCTTGGTGGCCATCTTCTCCAGGAGCAGTGCGGACACCCCCTGAAAACAACGCCACCTTATGTTTCGGTCAAACGGAATGGAGAAGGGGCTACCGACGTGTACGTTCGAGGAACGATGTCACCCCAGAAGGAAGTGCTAGAAAACGGAACTTGACGGGGACCTTCAGGTACTCCACCCATCCGGTGTTGCTCCACCAGTAGACGCACCATTCGCAAGGGAAGTGCGGATTCTGGAGCCGACAGTTCGAGTTGCTCAGTCGCCTGGCGCCACTGTACTTGAAACTGTCGGGTATATGCATGTCATCCAGGCTCAGTGTGAAGACGACATCCCTGCGGAGGAACATCGGAGCGGATCGCAACTATCAGAGAAGTTCTTACTTGGCTTAAGCAATCGCTCTGTCACAACAGACGTTTGGCGGGCTACAATTTGCTCACCCTTCTTGGAGGGTGACCGTCTCCCGTTCCACGTTGCAGTACATGCGCTCCAGAAGCAGCTGCGCGCTGGGCTTGATGTCCACCCAGCGTCGCGACTCGACGCTACACAGTTGCCAGTGGAAGGGCAGCGGTGTGTGGTGCATCTTGCACGTGGTCGCCAGCGGGCACGACCCCAGCAGGAATTTATCGCAGATGTCCACCTCGTCATAACTCCAGGTAAAAACCAAAGGGTAGGGATGGGGGACCAGGGGCCGAATGATGGTCGGCGGAGGTAGGGGCCGAGGGGCGGTCAGCAGGAGGCTTGAGTTGCTGGCGCTGAACCAGCTCGGGCATCTCCAGGGGTACCTGGGAGTGAGGTGAGCGCTCAGGCGGTAGGGCGTCACCGTCCAGGTGACATTCACCTGGTGAGGCAGGATGTAGCCGCTGCTCACCGGGACTTCCAGGAGGACAAACCTCGGCTGGGCGGCATCTTGGGATGAGTCAGAATCGAGAGGCCTAGTCCTCTTCATTCCTGACAAAGTAAGACCTTGTTTGACCCAGTGGTTCTCAAGCCTTTGGAAGAATTTTGCTGACCTCCAAATTGTCTGCGGACCACCGGGGGTCCACGAGACAAAGTTTGGAAGTCCGCAAAGTATTTGGCAATAAATTATTTTAAAAAGTGCATGTAAAACATCTAATGACTCCTCCCTACCTTAGATTTGGGCCCCATCAAAGGTTCGGATGTCATTACAATGTCACATTACATACATTTGACATCCTTATTTTTTTAATTTAGAACAGATGTCATGTCGAATTAATTGTAGAAAGTTTTTGTGAGAACAAAAGATATATTTTTTCATGACTGGTCAAGCTGTATTTTTGGAATTGTTCATATGTGACTTTTTTCCTTGGTTAAAATGCTGACTTTAATATAAAAACTAGAACTATGTCTTGAAATAATACAACTTTATTCTTGTAACTTTAGAACTTTTTCTATTAGTTTTTTCTTTGAAAAAATTTTTTTTCTTTGAAACATGCCAATTTATCAGCATAAAAAAAGTTCCTATGGTACTGTACTTTCTCAAAGTGTGATTGCGAAGCTCCCTCTAGTGGTACGCTATAAAATCACTGCACAATTTTGTACCGCTAACTTGATTGGTATAGTTCAACACATTTACGTATAATCTTTAAGAACTGTTTATTTTGGGAGAAAATTAATTATTGGAAATTTCTGAACAATATAAGTATATTTTCGGTACAGTTTTGTATTTTCCTATAATTTCGCACAGTGTTATTGTTTCAACTGTGGATAGTGGTACAGTGGCTAACCATAACATTTACTTCTTCAGAATAAAAGCTACCACTTTTTATTTAATATATGTATATATAGTCAGGCCTAAGCGCTTCCATTTGTATTTTTATCGATTTTAATGCTACTCACACTATTTTTTAAGTGGTACTTGGTGTTCCAAGTTTGAGAATCCATGCCATTTAATTAGCAGTTAGCATTAGCATTATGGAGGGCCTTGTGAAAAAAAAAAAAAAAGATCTTCCCCAAAAGTTTGAGAACCACCTACTGAGTCCTCTTTTTGAATGGCTCGACGGTATATCAATTAAATGTACTTACTCTATTGCGAAGTAGTTTGCTTCAACGACACTGTTAGCTCGTCCGCTTAAAAAAACAAAACAAAAAAAACCGAAAAACGCAAGCTAACACCATTCGCGCCATTTACGTGACATTGACACAACTTGGAAGGACGAATGCACATTTACATTTATCACACACTCAACTTGGAGGCTCGCTGAGTTCATGAGCTAAAAGTTTACCTGCAGGAGTGCGACTGAGGTTGAACGCAAAAAGACCTACAGACGAGACCAAGGGAACGAGAAAAGTGCACAAACGGACACGCGATTGCTTTTCAGTACACAATATCTGCCTGAAAGAAACTCCCTTCAGGCCCCTTTTGAAAGACGTTTTTTTTCCCCCCTCATATATACTGTATGTTTAAAAATAGTTTCTTATTCGAATTATTTTATTGTAATGACAATTGATGGACAACCGATTTTAATATCATAAAGTTTTCACAAAAAATATACTCACCTTAGTCATATTAATGAATAAAATCTAAGTTTATGAACCTTTATGATGAGATCATGTTCTTGATTAAAACTTTGCATGTTCATTTTTCAAAATTCAATCTTAGTATAAAAAGATTTTGCGGCATGATGGTCAACCGATTAGCACATTGGCAGAGGTTGTGGGTTTGAATCCGACGCCTGCATGGTGTGTGGAGTTTGCATGTTTTGCCTGAACCTGCGTGGGTTTTGTCAGAGTACTCTGGTTTTCTCCCACATTGCAAAAACATGCTTGGTTAATTGAACACTCTAAATTGTCCTGAAATTGGCTCTTTATCAAAAAAGACGAGACAAAACCACCTTTTTTCCCCCCATTTGTTTAATGCTAAAAAGAGAAGCAATGAAGTCTTGTCCCAAAACAAATTCTTTTCTTGTCGAGCTAACATGCAAACAGTCTCACACCCACACCCACAAAATGTAGCGTGACTTGTCGAGTCTTGTGTCATCTTAATGGGATTGGTCGCCTTCTCACGGGCTTGCAGAGACCTCCCCGAAAACTTCCTCATCCTCCACCATGCTCTGAGCGAGGTAAGATAAGGTCAGATCAGGGAAGGTATTCACTCCACAATGGTTGCCTCACCGTCAGATTATTGATTCCCTCGCAAAAGGCTCCGATCTGTCTCACGGCGCCCTCGGAGTCACCCATCTGGCCCGAGACGACGACGTTATTGGCAAGGAAACTGCACCGTGCAGAAGTGACGGGCGGGCGAGGAAAGGTCGCACCTGTTCTCGCTGCTCCAGGTGGTCCTCTGGGTCCTGGCAGAGCCCCCCGCCCACGTCCATGGGGCACACATACTCGCTGCCATCATCGTGACGTTTCTTCCGGAGCGATCCGAAGCTGCCGAACGACAGATGTCTCGGCTGCCGGATGCGGAAAAGAAAAGGGCCGTTCAACAACTTTCGACGAAAAACCTCAAAACTTTCCCCAAATGCCTTGAAATGACCAATAAGACACATTGGAGCTCCGTTTTCAAACTGTTAAAAAAGATGAATTTCAATGTCCGACCTTAACTCTGAATGGCAATGCACTTTTGAACATCTTTTCATCACCCTTGACGAGCTTTTCAAACACCTTGAATTTGTCAAATGTGAACACAGGCTGAAATGTATTCGAAAAGGTCTTGGGTGGCGTTGCCACATCATACCTTGACCTTGGCGGCGGCGGTAAGCACGACGTAGTCCGGGTTTTCCAGACACTCCTGCTTGAGCCTCTGAGCGTCGGCTCCCACCAGCAGGTGGAAGTGCGTCGCCAGGTGGCGCCGTAGCAGCGTTTTTCCCGGCGGGATGTTGAGAAGCAGAGCCAGCGCATCCACCGTGAAGCGAGGCTCCAGAACCTTGGGAAGAGCAAAAAAAAACCCTTGACCTTTTGATCGACAGATGTTGGGGCCGAGACCCCCGTGGCCACCTTCTCACCATGAGACCCCCGTGCACGCCGCTGCCTCGCAGGTTGGGCGCATACTCGGCCAAGTCCACTGAGCGCAGCCACTCCATCACCCGGTGGTTGCTCCACTGGATCACGTCGGCCGGTTGCGTGCACTTCTGCGGAGGGAGGGTGGCGGGAGACGTCATCGGATTGGTGGGCCGGCGAACGCCGGGTCGTTTTACCTCATCAGCGGGCCGGCGGTGCAGACAGTCGGCCCGGAAGGAGTTGAGGCGCAGGACCTGCACGGCTCGCTTGATGCTGAGGTGGTGCAGCACGCTGCCTACCTTCAGGGACAGGAGATCCTCCTGAAATAACAAGAGCGCTCAGAGCGACTCCATTTGCGTACATGATGTCAGACTTCCAAATGTCTGAACACATCACGTTGAATAAATAAACAAAGAAATAAATGAAAGAAGTCATTCAAATGTCTGACGCTGTAAAAAAGTCATATTTCATCCCGACTATACAAGCATATGAAATAGAAGATTATTAAAAATGCCGTACAAGGCATATTTTCAAGTCATTATTTCACATTTAAATGTCTTATATTTCAATAATGTCTTACTCTACAGTGTAAAAGTCTTCCAAAACATCCTGTCATAAAAATGGCGTCATACGAAGTGTGTCGTAAAAGAGAAGGGATGTGCGTGGGTGCGCATGGACGGGCACGTGTGTTGTTCTGACCACGGTCATGTAGTGGAGCATGCACGCGTCCACTCTGGCCTCGTCAAAGTGACTCTTGTACTGCGGCAGGCCCACGTCGTCCAGCCAGCCTGCAAGGTACGGGCAAAGCAGCGCTGACATCCCATCACGCTCACCTCCGCGTGCCCGAAGCCGGGGAGAGGCCAACTCACGAGTCACCCAGTTGTGGTCCAGTTTGCCTTTGAGGAGGTCGTCGGGCGAGCGGAGAGCCTGAAGGGCCAGCTGGAGCTTCTTCCTGTGCAGAGGGTGCTTCATGCCCAGCTCCTGCCAAGATAAAGGCGCCACCAAGTGGGCCAGCAGGTCAGACGGCGCTTTGTCTGAACACTGGGGAGGTCAGATCATTTTGACACATGGTGTCGATGGGGTACACGTTGTCCTCCTTGAAGCGTATCGCACAACGCCTCATGTTGGGCTGATCGCGTCCACACGTTGTACCTTCTCCAGGCGGTGCTGTGAGGCCTGCAGCAGGCTCTGTCCCGACTGGACCCAGGTGCGGGCCGGTGCGGCATACAAGCCCAGGCCTTGTTCGTGGAGCCACTGGCACACGTCCTCTCGGGTCCAGCGCGAGAAGGGAACGTCGGCGGCGTCCGCGGGAGCTCCCGACCGGCACAGCCGTGGCCCCGCCGTGGCCCGGACACCCCCGCGCTGGAACTGAGCCTCGTCGTCCGGGTTCAAGGAGGCGGAGTGGCTCCTTTTCAGCCTGGGGAAAAGCGTCACACCTTTGGAAGATGAGATGGCGGGTTGGCGGTGGGCTGGCTCCCTACCTGCCAAAGAACTTCATCAAGCCTTTGGACTTCTTCTTGCTCTCAGGCGGCGAGGGCAGAGCAGAGCAGGCCAAGTCAAATTGCTCCGGCACTTTGCGCTCGGTCTCGGCTGCAACGAGTATTTGGTGAAGCAGAAACGGAGTCAAATCCGGACGCGTGCTGCCTTACTGTGGTGTCATAAAACGAAGCTTCTTGGAGTGTGTTTTGCCTGACCGAGGTTTGGTGTGCTGCTGGCACGTTTGCCTCCTCGCATTTTGAGGAGTCCTCGACCAAAGGAAGCACGGAGCCGCTTGGCGCCCAAAGTGTCTTCGCCGCCCAATGTTTGGCACTTGCCTTTTGCCTTGCAAAGGCGCGCATAGCAATGCACACCAAGTCAGGACGTGCGCTGGGCGGCAAAGGCAGCGGTGAGGGCATCACAATGTCGAGGGGAGCTCACCTGCTCATTGGTGTTGCTTGGAGACACCGCCAGCGATCTGAAATCACGTCCATGACTGTGATACTCACTCTGAGATAGATTCTATCTATGTATACTCACTATGAGCCATCAAGGGAAAATTCCAGAAATAGAATAAAATAGAATAAAAAGAACATTGATGACAGCTGGAGTCAGTATTTAGTAGAATGAAACCGCTTCCACCCACTGGTGCACATCATACCTTTTGGACTCCCGCAGCGGTCGCTCTCGGTCCGCTTCCTTCATCTCACCCGGCACGGAGCCGCTGGGACGAGACTGCGGTGAGGGTGGGGAAGAAAACCAGGATTGTAAATCCCGACACACTGTCCCAAAGGTGGGACGCTTCATCGCAAGGGGCATCTGGATTGCGGAGGAAATGTGCAGCGACAGCGTGTGACAGGTGAGTTGTGTTTACCTCCGCCGAGATCCTTCCCGTCTCAGCCTCCGCCTTCAGCCTGACCTCGGCCACGGCAGGAAGCGAGCGATCAGCGACGATGTCGTCGTCGTCGTCTTCTTTTGGCCTCTCTGAGGGGATGTCGCACAAAAGTATCGGGACAAGTGACGGGCAACAGCTTTCGCTTGCTTGGGAAACCTTGCGATGTGTCAAACTTGAAGTGCTTTCTACCTTTGATTTTCTCCAGAACTTGCGCACTTTCCAACTCTTTGATCCTTTGCTCCTGGCGACACAAATAAAGAGCCGAGTTGTGACGTTTCGGGAAGTGTTATTTCTTACTTTTTTTAGGCGCACCTTCTCATCGTTGGCCGACACGAGCGAGTCCAACAGCGTCTTCATCTCGGACATTTCGGCATCTGGAGGGGAATGCAAACGCATGAGCGGCTTTGCGTTGAGTGCAACCACAGGGCGAGATGTGCCCGGCTACTATTTCATGTTTGTTTGAGTAGTCAGGAGAATGGAAGCTCCGTGCAAATATTCCCATTGGCGTGAAGACACCTTGAAGAGATGAACCACCACAAAAGGTTGTGTCAATGTCCAATCATAAGTGGACCCATGTGTTGAGGATAAACAAGAAAAGAGGAAGTCTGGTAGCCTCCGAATGACCTTGAGTGGATTTGCTCGCTTTTCATTGGCATGACCGGGACTTCAGAGATGGGATCTGTGCAAAATATCCTCTTATTGCTCCTCATCCACCCTTCCGCTTCATATGTACTCTCATCCATTTCTGAGATGACTATTGAGCTTATTCATTTTGAACCTTGTTTGTGTATAATGGACTGGACTCATGGGTCACATCTTTAGCGATGTTGTTGTTTGTGCGACTTGACTGTGAGACAGCCTGACCTCTGTCTCGCCCCGCCGTTGCCCTCGGTCTGCTCTCGTCCTTCAAGCTCCTCAGTTCTGCCTCTCGCTCCTCCAACTCCCGCTGCAGCAACCGCAGTTCTTCCTATGTGCCAATGAATCAGAATCACTCAGAGCGTGCTGAGCACCCGTCCAAACACAGGCGATCGTACTGAGGCGTGACGGTGTGTCGGCGACTGGTGGCAGAGTTGGAAGCACTTACATTCAGAGTGAAGGAAAGTGATGAGGAGGAAGCACGGGTTTTGAATGCCACAAAAAGACCAAGAGGACAAGGAGCTCAAACCTTCTGCTCGGCTCCCGCGGTCAACTCTGAAGGCTCGACACGACATTAGTAGCACGTAAGATGTTCAGAGTGGAAAATAGACAAAGATAAAAAGCTGTCAGTCAAGACGGAGTGCGGGTGATAAGAGGATCAGGGAAGGCAGGTGGGAGAAGGGTGGAAGGAGGTACATTTTTTTTTTTGAAAAGTCTCACTTTGCAAGCTCTGATTTTCCCGTCACACTGCAGATGCTCACTCTCGATGTCGGCCACAGGCAAACGCAACTGGCTAATTTCCTGGTACGAGTCCTGCAGAGGAAGAAGAATGTGATTTTCCTGGATGTGGCCTTGATGGTGGGTTGATGCGGGATGTTTAGGCAGGAAACAGCTGTCGGAGGAGCACAGGGGGCAGCCAGGGGTTCTTTCTTGCCACGTCAGACCGATGGACCTCGGCCACACTCAAAACAATGCGCGAGATAGTACAAGAGCGCACGCAGTGGGTAAAAAGACAAGGTTTTTCACAGGCCCGGACATGTGGTATGAGATGTCGATTCATCATTCTCCAACTGTTTGTGAACCGGGTGGATTTCAAACCGCCGCATGACAACGTCCGCTACTTGGCACCATCCATCAGAAGGCGAGGTTTAAGTCTGGTTCGGCTCGTTGGCTGGCCAAATGTAAGATTTAGGCTTTGCTACGTCCCAGTGGGGCGTACCACGTCATGATCCCTTTGATCTCTCTCCGCTGCGCTCAGCTTCAGTTTCAGACCCGACACCTCCGTCATCAGTTCCAGCTTCTGGGTCTCCAGTGCCGAGCGGGTCAGCAGTTCCTTTGGATGAGACACAAATCATTGTTCCGGTGAGCCGGCGTTGATGAGCGGCCCACACAATTCCTATTGCAGCAGCTCCGGACCGCAGATCGCGGGTGGTCTCGTTCAAACCTTTTGCAGCAGCTCCTCAGTGGCGCAGAGCTTCTCGCGGTGGCGCTCCAGGCAGTTGTCCAGGTCCCGGATCTTCTCCCCTTGCACCTCCACCTGGTCTGTGAGGACGCTGACCTACAGACCATAATCGACGTGACGCTCAAGCAAACGTTTCTCGATGACTCTGAAGTTTTCCAAAATCTCACAACCAACTCCAAATGGTCCGTAGGTTTCTGAACCAAATTAAAATGACCACTCTGGAGATAGGAGACACTTTGACTGACAAACCTGAAGGATGAGACACTCTTTGTCACTCTCCAGTCGGGTGAGCCGCTCTTGGTAGACGGCCTCTGAGCTGTGGCCATTTGTCTGCAACAATGGAATGATAAAAATATCTTTTTGGTTAGAAGATCTTCTAGCAGAGGCGGGAGTGAGTCACATTTGTGAGCTATAAGTCTCAAGGTAGGTTTGAAGCAAGTCCCAAGTATGTTTGACTCGACTGAAGTCATGTGACTTGAGTCCCCCGTTTCTGTCGCCCATAAATGAATTTATTTTGACGAGGCGACCGTTTGAGAAGAAGAAACACAGCACGAGTTTGGTTGGTGGAAAATTTCTTTTTCTTGTCTGGAAGCCCCATCAGTCACTCAGCACGTCACATTACAAAGCTGAACGAGGCGAAGGGGGCCTTCGAGCGCCTGCGTAGTATCTCTGCTGACAAGTTTGTGCCGTGCTCTGGATAGCGTCCAGATAAGCTGAAGGCGTGTACCATTCGTCCCTGCAGCCACTCGGCCAGACCCTCGGCGGTGGAGTCGGGGATCTGGCAGCGCAGGTTGTCCCGCTCTTGATTGTCCATGAGGTCCAGAGCCGCCCGCAGGTCCTCCAACAGGTGCAGCGGGCGCGGACCGCCCATCAACGGCGATGTGGGCGACTGGCAGCCGAACAGCCCGTTGGAGTAGTCCATGGCCTTGGAGCCTGGCACAACAAAGAGTCACCGCTTGTCAAGCGGGCGGCCAAAAACGATTCAACCGATCGGAAACTTTTTAAAAAGTCACCTGAGAAAAAGTGAAAAAAAATAACAATATGCAGTGAGTCCCAGGCTGGCAAGTTGCAATGTCAAATCTCTCCCTAGCAACATTTTCACACGGACACACGATCACGATGACTCTCCTTTTATGTTAGCTCAAAATGTACATTTATTACGGCTTTTCCATTCATCTGAAAACAACTGCGACCGTGAATTTTGTTGGGACAGCTGTGGTTTGGGGGGTGGAGGGGGGGTGTCTTTTCCTCATGTGATCCTCCTTCCCATTGGAAAGCTCAGCGGAAAAAAAGTGAAGCCTGCACTTAGAAGTGCTCAAGCTTGAATAATCATTAGCATGCGTCACGCCGCGGAACAATGGAAACTTTTTTTTTTTTTTTTTGCACTAAGGAAGGAATCCAGTAGCAACAGCAGGAACGTGACTCCAAAGCCCACATTCAGAGGGGCTCACATTACATAGCAGGTAGGAGTGGAATGAGGGGTCGGGAGTAGGGAGAGCCACGCATTCCCAGCATGCAGCGTGATGCTTTCCAGATGTGCAACCCCCCCTCCCCTGCCCACCCCTTGACAATTCCTACCTGCGATGATCCCGTCCATTTGCTCCAATGCAGCCGCCAACATCTCGCTGGCGTCAGACATCATCTTCTCTTCCAATCACCTGACAGACAAGAAGAAAGACACTTGTGGAAAAAGGCAGATTCGTTGAACCCGTTGCCACTGTTCCAGAGCACAACGGGTGGTGCCAAACGACCAAAGACACATTAACCGAATTTTGTTGGGACAGCTGTGGTTGGGGGGGTGGAGGGGGGGTGTCTTTTCCTCATGTGATCCTCCTTCCCATTGGAAAGCTCAGCGGAAAAAAAGTGAAGCCTGCACTTAGAAGTGCTCAAGCTTGAATAATCATTAGCATGCGTCACGCCGCGGAACAATGGAAACTTTTTTTTTTTTTTTTGCACTAAGGAAGGAATCCAGTAGCAACAGCAGGAACGTGACTCCAAAGCCCACATTCAGAGGGGCTCACATTACATAGCAGGTAGGAGTGGAATGAGGGGTCGGGAGTAGGGAGAGCCACGCATTCCCAGCATGCAGCGTGATGCTTTCCAGATGTGCAACCCCCCCTCCCCTGCCCACCCCTTGACAATTCCTACCTGCGATGATCCCGTCCATTTGCTCCAATGCAGCCGCCAACATCTCGCTGGCGTCAGACATCATCTTCTCTTCCAATCACCTGACAGACAAGAAGAAAGACACTTGTGGAAAAAGGCAGATTCGTTGAACCCGTTGCCACTGTTCCAGAGCACAACGGGTGGTGCCAAACGACCAAAGACACATTAACCAGATCAGATGCTTCAAGAAAGTCGCTTCTGGAAAAAGGCCCCCACCCCCTTGTCGCTCCAGCCTGTCGGCGTGGGACATGTCTCTGTGACGTTTAGCAGTCACGATTTTGCCCACAACGCATTCGAGCACAACTTACACAAGAACAATTTTGTTTGTTTTTTGGGGGCCGGGGCAGAGCAAGCTTTACCTCATTTCCTGTGTCATTACCACAACACAAGACGAGAAGCCTGTCGCGAAAATGCCAGCTTTTTTGACTCCCAACAAAATTTGCTGGAGACAAATTTTGTTTCTCTGCAGGTATTTCCACAGGATGAGGGAAAGCACCTCATCACAGTGGGGCGCAAGCTCTATTTGGTCAGCCGCTAGCCCGAAAATCCCAGCATACACACACGGAGAAAAATAAAGCTTATCCCCCCGCTAAAAATGCAAATATTTTCCCTCTCGCTGGGCCAAGGGCTGAATCTGGGAGAGGACTCGTATGAATGGAAATGATGTGTGGAACACGGCATCTTTTGGCAGAGTTCAGTGGCCACGTCTGATTTTTCAAAAAGACAGATATGCCCGGTCACACACCCGTGCTCAATGCTGATATACGCTTCACCATTTTGGCTCACTTCATTATAAACACCTTGTGTTGACTTTTCCCATGTGATCTTACATCGGATCCGCGATTGCACTGAGACAAACATTGCTTTAAAGAGGTCGAGCGCGGGTTGATGGCACACAGTGAGCCATCTCAAGCCGCCCTACGCACATTCCTGAGCAGGTTCACGCTCCCAAACTCCCGAAAGTGCCTGGTACCGACATCCCCGCTGACTTTTGGGACCTTCGCCCCCTCTGCCTTCCACACTGACAGACAAAAAAGACAGTTGTCAGCCAACTGAGCTCAGTTATTTGAAGCTGTAAGTGAACTCGTGAACGTCACGTGGTCTTTGTTGACACTCCAGCTTCAGTGGACTTGAGGTCAGGCCTCCTCCTGGTAATGATGTCACATTGCTGGACAGAAAGGATATACTTTGAAGCTGCTCCCCAGCCCTCCCCCTCCACATACAACTCTTTGTGTCCCGAGGACTCACATAGTGGGAGCTCGAGACACACTGATCTCACGGCATTGAGTTTTTCCACATGGAGCATGTGTGAGGGTGGGCTGGTGGGAAAGTGAGCCAAGAAAAACCGCCAGCAATCAGGAGCGAAGCGCAGAAGCTTCCCGTCCTCGCCGTGGCGGCGGCTGTCACGACTCACCAGATGGCTGAAATGCTCCCGCCTCGTCGGGACGGAACCATAAAAGGCATTGAAGAGACCCCTCAGGAAGATCCTGGCGTGGACCTACCAGGAAGCGCTTCCTGCCACATTGGGGAGAAACTCTCTTCCTATTCAATCGTGGAAAAACTCGTCATGGAACAAAACAGCCGATAATTGTAGTCACAGGATGGCAACAATTTCAAAACCAATTAAGACTATCAACAAGGCGAAGAACCCAACTAGTCTGCTGCCTCAATGGGTTGCCGGGCAAGTCAAAACAGACAGAGGTTAACTGTATGTTAAATAGCGCCACAACACACGTGAGCAGAGTTTACCCAGAAATGTTCCTGAGCCGACTATTTTGCTATCTCAACGGGATGTTGGGCAACTTAGAACGCAGAGAATAACTCCAAAAAAGTTGCATATCATCATTGCCACCCACATGAATCCCCTTAAATTATTTTTGACATGCCAAATGTCACAAAACTCTTTTACCATTTGGAGGTGCTCACTTTCGAAACACTCATCTGCTTTGTAGTCACTTAAAAAAAAAAATACAACCACATGAAAGTCCAACAATGAGCTACGATCCCAATGGGTCATGTTCATTTTGCATCCTGGAAGCCGAGCATCACCACACACCACTGCGGGCATGTTGCACATTGTAAACACAGGCTGCACAATTTGCTGTTATTTTTAAATCTTACCGTACATTAAATTGCACATAAACATTACAATTGTTTTCAGTTGTTTTAATAGCATACATTTTTTAAACATTCCAGAATTCGTCACTATTTATGGAAAGGTCACAAACTTGTTCAGGTAAAGTGGTTGTTAATTTATCCGAGCAAAAAACAAAAAAAAAAAAAAAACACAAAAAAAAAAAAAACGAAACAAAAAAAATCCAGTTTTAATGCTCATTTATTATTATTTATTTTATCCCGTGTCGGTAAAATAGGGAGAGTGGTGACCACAATTGTCGGTTGTGATACCAGTACATTCTCAACAGGGAAAAAAAGGTCAAGAAAACATGAATAAACTTACCAGTTTGGAAAAAGGTGAGGTAAATATAAATTCCTCGGGGTGACGTGGCCTCGCTCGGGACACTTTGGAAGCGCTTTTTAGCGCAGCTTCATTGTGGACAAGCAACTTTTCGCATCGACCCCCTCCTTGCTCTGCTTCTGGAAACTCTCTGAACTGGGGTAGGACGCCATCAAGCTTGATGCCACATGACAAGGCTCAGGAAAGAAGTTCAGCTGCTGCCTTCAAACCAAAGCAGGATATGACTTAATATTTCAAAATAAAACGATGGCTCAGGTAATTCCAGAACGTGCCTTTCTTTTGAATGGTATTTGACAAAAAATAAATAAATAAATAAAAGTTTAATGCTCTTCAGAATGCCCTGTGACACGAGTGATAAGCCATTCTTAAAAAAAAAAAAAAGTTCACAATTAGATGAACCAATAGCAATTTTAAACACACTGATTCCAGCGTAAGCGCCAGCAGAGGGCGGCAGAGGCTTTTTTATCCACCCATGCAGTTCCCCACGCAAATAGTGAGGATTGAAGTTAATGGCAAATGTAAGGAGAACCCCCTGTACTGTACATACACTGAAATGAATCACAATAATAACATCTGCAAGAGCAATAATAATAAAAAAATGATAAATCATTGATTGCGTCCCATCCCCAGAATACACATTGTAACCTGCGGCGGTTTTAACAGATCCTTCATGCAAAGACGTTGATGCAAGTATGTTTTTATTTGTGCCGTGACAGAAGGATAATTAAAATGACAAGCATCATAATATACCATATGTCTTCTACTATGCGCCTGTGTGTGAGACTGGATCACTTTGCAGCGCCAAATCCGTACGCGGTCAAAAGGTTGCAACCTGCGGGCAAATCACCCATGACAGTTCATTTGGAAATCATCATCATCAGACATGACTGGTCGTCGCTTCACTTCATTTTCTCGTGCGGGGACGCTGGTCGAAAATAGCAAGAAAGAACACTCCGCCACCTCCTCCTGACAACCCCTCATTTTCTCCATGTTCTCAGAAAGCTAACGACAAAGTGCTGGACCGCGCATTGTTGCTCTTTGAGAGACCGCCGCTTAATTTATTCTCGCTTCGTCAAGTCCTGACGCATCAGCCATTAGTTCGTATCGACCATCCAACACTGTGTCCAGCCGTTCGGGTGTCTCGACAATCCAGAATTCCAAACGGTCATCCAAAATGTCACAACGTGATGAATGGCTTTGCCGCTGCCCGGTGATAAAGCTGGCATCCGTGTTTCTGTGATTAAAGTTCAACAGATGCTTACTTATCATTCATGAAGTGGAGCCAAACTCTGTTCTCTCCCAGAAATGTCCATTTTTGTTTTGCCCTGATAACCATCAAGAGCAACAACTGGGGAGCCTGAACGCAGTCAATTAGTGGATGCCTGCATGTCCCTGCCCAGCGGAGGATTATGCGCAGTTCAAGTTAATCATGGCGCTCCACTGAGCTCAGGCCAAAAATAATAAGTTAGAGGCATGATTTCAAAGAACTAGCACGCAGCATTGACAAACAATATCGCACCACATGGTGCAATTTAGCGCCCCGACCTTGCGCTGGGCTTTGCGCTTCATTACACCTTGCTCGCCGGGATAACCTTTTCAATCCGACGCGATGTTCGCTCCCCTCCCAGTTAGCTTAGCATGCCTCCAGCAGCCTTAAAGGTCAACAGGTTTGCGTGCCTCCGAGTGAGGCAGACGCACGGGCCGTGCGAGGCAACGATGTCCTTGATGGGAAAATGACAGCTCCTGCCTTTGAGATGCATCGTCCCTTTGTGTGCAACATTTGCATGTAAAACGCTCCTTTGCACTCAGAAGACATCGCGTCTTCAACCTGCCCTGTCATGACAATTTTGCCCCAGAGCAACCGCTTTGTGGAGTATAATTCCGCATCGAGTTGAGAAATTTGTTGTGACAATGCATCACGTGTTACATAAGCGACTCCGACGGAGAATGACCAAGACATTGCTGCAAAATAGAAGGGATTGAAAGTGACAGTCAACCAAGTCGGGGGTGTTCAAGGGTTGGCAGATACTGTGCACACTGACCAAGAAATGCAGTCAGGATCCCATCAAAATGGCATGGAATTTTGTCTGGCTCTCGTAGCTTGAAGTCCTGATTCTGAATCACGGCGCCGTGAGATATTAACAATTGTGCCAATTGTCAAGAGTTTTGATGACGCCTGGAATAAAAAAAAAAAAAAAAAAGGCCGCCTTTCTTTTTGGGCCTCACCCGCTCTTAACTTAACGCCACATTTGCATCTCGCTATGGAAATTGGGACGTGAGCAGAATGAGCATTGATTCCTGCGAGCATGGAAGAAAATGCGCTGTTCACTTCCGCGCCGCCACAATACTGTCCGTTTGCCTGAAAAAGCACCAGGGCTCGCTACCTCTTTGTCACATTCTGGGCAGAGTCGCGTCTTCCATCACGAGTGCGGAATCATCCGTCCCAATGAGTAATGTTTGCGGACTGTTGTGTGGGATGCCGCAGTGAATTTGTCATTTGCTAGTTCTGCTTCTTTTCTGCAGGAGTCATCTCACACCAAAATGGAAAGGTAGTAGCTGCGTAGCGCGCCTCCCCACCTCCACCCCCCCACCCAAATTTTACAACATTTGTGACAGACTGTCTTCGCACTAAATGATTTTCTGCGCCCTCTCCAATTGGGCCTTCCAGGTGGACCAGTAGATCCGTCGCTGTGAGCTGCGCCACCTTGACTATCCATTTGTATTCTCTCTCCAATCAATTTGCGGAACCGGTGATCGTGCTAATCAAGGTGTCATTGCGAATTTGGCGACTCTAAAGCGAGTAATGAGTCCGCCCAGTGGAACCCAGGATAAGCCTTGGCTACTGTCAGCACACAGGCAAGGTTTTTCCCCCCCTCCATAACTCGACTGCCACCATTTCTCCTCCGTGTTTAATTGCTAATGAAGTAGCTTTGGAAATTACCAGTCGTTCTGAAAAAGCATCATGTGATTGGGGTCAAATGCTAATTGCGCTGCATGGAAGCAAGGAGGGCATAAAGTACACAGTTGGTGGAGCTTGCACACATGATGAGACACACGATGCGCGAGCTGATGCAGAAGTCAAACAACGGTACTAGCTTGTCTCTGCATGTGTGATGTCTGGAAATGTAAAGGTGTCTATACGAATGGCTGCTTTCTTTTTTTTTTTTAAATTAGACAATTCCGGGTGTACCCTGCCTATACTGCCCAAAGTCAGCGACCCCTGTGATGATAAAGCCGTTCAGATAACAGATGGAAGGTGCCACTTCTTATGATAACTCGGGCCTTGGGAAATCCAACTTAAATTTGTCACTCGGTGAACAAAAATCCATTATTTGAGGTCATCGCTGGAATGAAGGGCGCTTACTGCATGCTGCTCTTTTATCCACGAGATTGACTAGTGAGCCTTCCGTGCTGTAGCCTTCCACTCCCAGTCCGCTGGCTCTGGCTTCCCTGTAAAAATTGGACGGATCAAAGAAAGTTCACGTGACACAAAAAGCTTCAATAACTGAGGTCACCGCTCTGGTAAAAGCCTCCTCTTGGTTTTATGCCGACAAAGTCTGACCTTTTACGTCTCCAACCGCGTTTCTGGGGATGCGAAGGCTTTCATGTTGGTGGATGCAAGCCAAACGCCGACGAGTCACAAACTTGCCCTTTTCTCCAGCCATCTGCAACCAAGTACAAACACTACATACTTGGGCTCATGCTACGTCTGCATTTCATTTGAACGAGAACAAAATGCGGCGGCGGTTTGTACATTGTGATGCATGTTGCCCGTGACAAAAGATCAATCCTTCCCCATCCGTGACTCCAGCTTGCGAAAAAGCCATTCTCTTCGACTTGCATGTGAGTCGCTAGAGCGGTCAACTCTTTCACCGTTTTGTATGAGTTCAACGCGCATTCTTCCAAGTATGTTTCCAATCCACTAGCAAATATTCGCAGAAAGACTTCTCCCCATCCAATAACCTCCTCTAGGAGTCACATTAGCGCAGCACTTATACAGCATCAGCGCAGTAGGCCCGCTATTATTACTGAGCCAGGAAGAAGTTGATCCCGGGGGTTGCCATAGCAACAACAGACAATATTCTCCGGAGTACGAGCCACGTGATTTTTAACCTGCCATTTGAGAGTAGGCCTATACCAAAAAAGATACGACGACGGCTTGTTGCTGATGTCACAAACCTAATAACAATAAGAATCCGCGAGGAATCAAATGGGATGTTTTTAGTCATTGCAATAGCGTGTTCCCTCCGTAATAAGGTCATTCATTACATATGGAGCCAAGCTATTCATCAATTTTAGCGATTCATTTGAGTTTTATAGTCAGGATGATTTTTAAAACATACCGTAGATTTTAATGTGCACTGCTTACATAAACAACATGACTGTGGACTAGAGGGTGAAACAGGAGTGGATTTTCATTTCCGTCCCATCCCACTCCAACAGAAAAAAATCTCGTCCCGTCTAAGTGCATTAAACCATAAAAAAATTAAAATAAAATCAAACACAAACTCCCCACTGAATATTTTGAGGCTTTAGCGCCCAACACCAGGTCTTTGGAAACTTTGCAGATGGTCTTTTTTGGCCACAAGCGCTCACCAGCACTTGTTGAAAGTGCATCATTCCCCAAGGAGAGTCAACCGTTTTGGAGGAGCTGGTAACGCAATTCCACTTGATAAGAACCTAATTGCATTTCAGACGCCTCGCCATCAATCGGCGGACAGTGGCGAGGCTCAATAGATTGCTTTTGCAGGGGCGGGATATCGGTTGATACACCGAGGGACGGATTAGCCGGCAGCTAAATGAATGAGCGGGATAATGATGAAAGCACTCGTTGACGCCTCCGTCGAATCCATTGCATAACCCATCGAGGTTTGTCTGTGGCCTTCACAGAAACCTCCGAGGAAGTCAAAGTTATGACAGGGCGAGAGTGAGCTAGAAAGCTATTGATTTGGACTACTGTAACTGGCGCAAAATGACCGGAATATAAAATGGTCAACGCAAGAACTCTCTTGATTTTGAGTGATGTGAATGTGGATGTCGCGTTGAAGTCGAAATCAACAACAGGCAAGAACCCGATCAACTTTGAGCAAGACGTGAAGGTGGCTTTGAAGTCAAACGGCTGCATGTCCCCGCCAGCTGCCACCTTCATCCAGCAGGGGGAGAACAATTTCCCATCATGCATGTCAATCGCAGCAGGCCTTACACAACACAAACCTTGCTCTGATGTAACAGCACCCCCCCCCACATACACACACAAAGACCACAACCATAATAAAGGTTTCATCCTGATAATCAATATTCATGATTTTTTGTGAAGAAGAGAACTTTCTAGCTGTGTCTGTAGCTCATAATTGTGCCCCATGAACCTCCAGACGTAAATAAAATTGTGCAACCTGCCAACAAGATGGGAAGAGGGGGGGAGAGATAAAGAGAAATGAACTGGCTTTCCTTGGCCGCTCTGGCCATGATTGCATCCATTGATTTTGTGCACGGCGTTAATTTTCAAGTACAAGGCCCAATTGTGCAACATCAGTTTCCCCCCCCCCAAATAATTTCATTTCACGTGAGACCAACTAACCCTTTGACTTAAGATGCATCCTTCTTACAAATGCAACAGTTGTGCTTCGGTCTCTACAGCGGATAGCCATTCAAAAGGTGTTTTCTTCCATATACAGCGGTGCCTTGAGTTATGAATCTAATATATATGAACTTGACTATGCTTGTGTCTCAAATTTACTGTTATTGATTGATTGTTGTAACCGCCTTTGTTTTGATGTCAGATTTTTACTTGTAGAGCATTTTGTACGCAGCTGTGGTTGTTTTTCAAGTCATCTATAAATACCAGTCTTACGCGTTTAAACCTGGAAATTGATTTTTCGTATATATAGTATGAGACGGCTTCTGTGCATTTGATGGGCTGTAATTTGCAACATCATGCAACGGAAAGTCATATTTTGAATCGCCGCATAACCAGAGGCTGAGACTCACCACCCAGGAAATGTTAGGGCAGAAGCCAGTGCGCTGCAGTGTGCGTTGTGCAGCGGAGACTTGCACGGTTCAACTGATCGCACCTCAGTCCTGCCCCGTGCCTCAGATAACGGAAAAGCAACATAGGCCAGGCCGAGCCAAGCGAGGCCGGTGCGGTGTGTTGTTGAGCCATTCTGGAACCTGGAATGGAATGGCGGCTTTAGTCACTTTTACCCTCGTTTTAGCCTCGCCTTAGCCATTATTTCAGCGAAACCTTGTACTTGTCGTTGAACACTCCATCGCCAACGCACTCAATGACCAATAAGATGAGTGCAAGAGTGTTTGCCCTAAGCTGCATTTAATAATAGCTTTCCGACTGCTGGCGAGTGTTTCTCCGGTGCCACCCAGGTTCTGTTGAGCGGCACCCGGTCGTCTTGACGACAGCTTTTTCAAAGAGCAACGTGGCGGCTCTGGATGTCGCTGTGTTTACAACGAAAAGCCATGACTGACAAGAATCAACCGTTCAATCATGACTTGCTTCCAAAGGACAGCGGCTTCTTATTAATCAACCCTGCAACCATGTGATTATTGATCCCCCAGCGTAGCGACGCGCTTTATAAGCGGGGGATCAGGAAGACATTTGCACTGCAGCGTTGTCCCTGGTGACCAACGATACTTCTTATTCTAGACCAGGTTGGACAACTTCATCAGACACCATCAATGGAAGTCAAAGGTAGAAATGCTCCCATTTGGATAAATTGTCTCAAAATTAGCCACTTCTTTGCCTCTTTTTGCAGCAAACAAAATTTGGTGAGCAATTCCCGTGAATCGAGTCAAGCAAACATGAACAGCCCGTTTGTACCTTGCCAGCGGAGCAGACGATCTGCTCAACCATCTGCAAAATATGCAATTAGGCCTGTCATTGTGAGCACCGAAAGCTGCCAGGCAAAGGTGGTGATTGTCAAAGTGCTGGGGAGGACATTGATGATGAAGCTTTCTCCTTCTGTGATATGTCGGAACAAAACAAGATGTAGGAACATACAGTATGTTGGCTGTGTGTCACTCGAAGGGACTCCAGCATGCATTTGACTCGGAAAGAAAAAGAACATTCTGTGTTCTTGCTGCAATCCTCACATTCCCTGTTGGCTGTTGACATTTTGGCGCCACCACAAACCGAAACTCAACCTTTTCCGGAGATATTTTATTCATCCACAAGAAACACTTATTTTTCCCCTCTTTAGGTGTTTGTTAACCTCCCATGAGCTAATTTGTAGCCATTTCTTAGCATCTTGAGGTCCCGTTAGCCACTTTCAAGTCTCTTTTTAGGTTATTTTAGTTTGATGTGACCCAAATTTAGCCTTTTATTTGCCACTTGAATTATGTTTTTGCACCTTTTAACCTTTTTTGGTTTGCTTTTGTTGTCATTATTTTTTGCTACCTTTATGACATATTTAATATGTCTAATCTAATTTGAGCCTCTTGGTGAAATTTTGCTTTTCACAGCTTTAACGGCTCACCCCGCCTTGATTTTATTGTATTTTTTTAACTTCTTACAGATCTCTTTTAAATGCTTCATCGTCTCTTTTCATTGTTCCTTGCCTCTTTTATTCACTTAGCCTCATTTGATATCCTCTTTTGCTTCTGCTTTATAGGTGCTCACCATGCTGGTTTACGACTCCTTTGCGCGGACACCCTCTTCTCTTGGTAACTAAAGTGTCCTTTTCTGAGTGGGTTGAGCGGTTACGAGGGGTATTAATTACCGTGGCCATGGCAACAACAGGTGCCAAACCGTCCGCGGCCGTGTATAATTATGATTATACTTAAAATCATGAAGGGTAAAAAAGTGATTGATTTGGGGAGGATTAACGACAACCCACAACAACCTTTCGCATAAGTGGAAAAGAGTGTGACGCTCCTGAAGCAGATCATCACATATTTTTGATTATCACCAAGGTCCGTGTTTCTATTAGCTATCAGCTGATTTGCTGAAAGCTGCACGGCAGCAGACAGCATTTTCCTCCCTCTCTCTCGCTATCTCTTCCAGCAGACGAATTAACGGCAGGGGTGCTCGCTCGGTCAGACGCTTAACGAACAAGTCCCTGTGTGTACCGTTGTCAAGGTAACAGACCGTTTTGTTTCACCTGTTTGGCGCACATTGGGAGATTTCATGTTGGGAATTAAGCTGAAATGAAACGCTCCCAGAGGGGCAAAGAGCGGGTCAGGGATGACTGATGAAAAAATGCTTTTGTTAGCCCATGAGCAAAATGTAATACTTGTTATCTTATGAAAAACAGACAATAAGTGGCTGAAAAATATAAAAACAATCACACACACACACACAGTCTTATGTAACAATACACGTGAAAGGAACATAAATATGCGCAAGAATATGTATACATACGAAATGTTTCTGTTCCAACCTGTTCAGGAGAAGCAGCGTTGGCGGCATGGTGCTCACAGTGCAGAGGTGTGGGGTTCGATGCCGCCTCCGGCCTTCCTGTGTGGAGTGGGGCATGTTCTCCCTGTGCCTGTGTGGCTTTTCTTCGGTCCTCCGCTTTCCTCCCACATTCCAAAGACAAAAAACAAAAACATGCATGGCAGGTTAATGGCACACTCTAAAATTGTCCCTTGATGTGACTGTGAGTGTGAATGGTTGGTTGTTGACCAGACTGTCATCATTTCAGCATTTAATACTTGTGATGTGTTTGTTTGGCGATGTGATGTGATATTTAATTTTTAGTTCCAGTTTTTAGTTGGCTAAATAAAAGGTTGGGAAACACTCTTTTCATTTGTATTGTGTTCTTTGATCAATGCCAGCAATGGATCACGACAGTGAAAACAAGTTGGCAGAAAGTACTCTTCTTGGTCTTTATTTTTACCCTTTTCTTGTTCCGTGGGTTTACCATGAGAATTTTGTCATTTAAAATCTGTGCCTTGGCACAATTCACGAGAGTCGATGCCTGTCGTAAAATAATAATGGGGGTATTCATTTCATGGTTCATTTTAACAGCACGAGGTTGAAAACGTAAGGGGGATTTCTCCTATGGCGCTCTCTAGCAGAAGCTCTTGTTTAAATATACGACAATCATTCTGCTCTGTTCAGTCGGCGCTACAGGTGCACAGTGCCCCGAGAGGAGGGGGTGGTCCCACGGAAGGTGGGAGGTTGTACTGCTGGCGCGCAACAGGTCCGCCTCACTGTCTCACACTCAACAGATGTGCGGAGTCTGCCGGCTCTGCGCGCTGCTTGTTGCGCTCACTCGCCTCAACACCATCACCACCACCGCTGCTGCTGCAGCGAGCGTGGATGCCGATGCAGCCGCCAGCAGCCTCCGCCTCAAGGCAGCCCTGTGACCGTTGGGCCAGATGAACCCCCGCCGCCCCGGCTCCTCCTCGGCCTCCTCTGGCATACAATGGCTTAACAGAAGAGACATGAGCGTCCGCAACGGGGACGGCGTCACGCTGTGCCAGAGGGCTCTGCAGATTGTGACGGACCTTTGCCTCACCGGACATGTGGACCGGGAGAAATGTTCGGATATTTTCCCCCTGGAGAGCAGCAGCATACCAGGTAAAGGACACGCAGGTAAATGCAATCAAGTCATTACCTTTTTCTGCAGTGAGCTTCTGTTGTGCAATCGATGTACGCAAGTAAAACAATAGAGGGAATCCCTCTGTTTTCGGTCAGCTCTGGTTCAGGCTCATCCGAGTACGGCAGGAAATGACCCAGACTGAAATAATCAAGTCTCATTTCCCAATCACTCACAGTGTCACTGATCCAGAATAATATGTTGAGCTCTCGGATAGTGCTGCAAAACATACAAACCCTTTTAAAAAACTAGCAACAAGGTTTCGAGCAAAAGACAGACGACTTCAGTGCCTTTAAGACGGGCTATCAAACCAGCTATTTTTCTGTCCATCTTCTTCACATCCTGGTTGATTTCTCCGCAGACATCTCCATCAGCCTTTTGGCCGTGGTGGTGGGCTTCTGTGGCCTTGCCTTGCTGGTGGTATCTCTCTTTGTCTTTTGGAAGCTGTGCTGGCCTCTCTGGAGGAGAAAGGCAGTGACAGTTCACGGGGGAAACGTCGGGCTTCACGTCGCCTTTCCCGAAGCGCCTCCGATTAACTCGCCACCCTTGCCGGAAAAAGCGGTGCCACTGGAAGAAAAAAAGAAGTACTCGCCCGAGGTGAAGTTAAACAATCGGAACTCCATCAAGCTCCTGGAGGCGGCCATGAAGATCAGCCAGACATCGCCGGACATCCCGGCCGAGGTGCAGACCACCCTCAGAGAGAAGCTAAGCCATCAGGCCAAGATTCAGAGGCAAACCACTGAGCCGACGTCGTCCTCCAGGTAGCCCTCGGTTGCGCACTCATCAATGCCAAGACTGTCCGGGCGGGTCATGTGTTGCCGGCAACTGTAATTTTTTGTCCAAAAGGTTAGCGCTGATGTTGCAACGCATCTAATGATCTGAATGTTTGGCAAGGTTCCGATTTTTTTTTTTTTTATCTGACCGCCTTGCCCTACATTTGCCCTTGTTTGTCAATCTTATGCACATCCCGGTTGTCTTCTTTGAAGACATCTCCATCAGCCTCCTGGCTGTGGCGATGGTGGGCTTCTGTGGCCTTGCCAGGCTCACGAGTTGTGTCACACAGGCTCGTAAGCCTACTATTAGCTGCACGTGTGAACCCAGCTGCCATGACATTGCCTGCAAGCCACCCCAGTAATGAAACAATCACCCCACACTTCGCCTTTGTTTTCTAGCATGGTGTTTCAAGGCCAACGTCCATAATTAGCATTGCCGCAGGTTGGCCAAAGATGTGACGCAGCGGGCAGCTGTGTCTGTGTGGGTAGACCCGAACACCGCGCACTCGCCACTTAGGATCAGTGATGAAATCACGCTGATCTGCCGGTGACTTGAACTCAGATGAGCGATTCCACCAAGTACTAACTCTCTAACCTTTTTACGAGGCCGAGCTTTTATTTACTCATGGGAACAGTAGTGTGTTGTTTTAATAACATGCACTCTTAAGTGCCTTTGTATTGAATAACAATGTCCAGAAGCGACCTCCACGAAAACAATTGCTTGGTGACAAGACGCCTTTGAGGCTAAAGCTGCCGGTGTCAAAAGGACAATTTGTTTGGATGGATTTTGAAACACGTGGGTAGTGGTCTGAGTAATTTACACGATTGTTTGGAAGCTGGTTTGGAACATTCTAGCTTCACCTCATTAGGTGCATTAAGGATGACAGATAATTGACTCCAATATGCTCACAGCCACCTTTTCCCACAGGCACAATTCCTTCCGGCGCCACCTGCCACGCCAAATGAACGTCAACAGCTTTGACTTCAGCATGGACGCAATGCCTTTCCGACAGTCCTCCACGGCGAGCATCGGAAGAATCAAACCGGAACTCTACAAGCAGAAGTCTGTGGACTCGGAGGGCGAGCCCAGAGAACCCGTTGAGATTTGCGGAAAGCTCAGCTTCTCGCTGCGTTACGACTACGAGGAGCAGGCACTGGTGGTGACGATCCTAAAAGGCTTGGACCTCCCAGCTAAAGACTTCACAGGAACCTCGGACCCCTACGTGAAGATCTACCTGCTCCCAGAGAGGAAGAAGAAGTTCCAGACACGAGTCCACCGCAAGAACCTGAACCCGACGTTCGATGAGACCTTCCGCTTCCCCGTGGTGTATGACGAGCTCTGCGACCGCAAGCTGCACCTGAGCGTCTACGACTTTGACCGCTTCACCAGCCACGACATGATCGGCGAGGTGGTGGTGGACAACCTCTTTGAGCTCTCTGACCTTTCTCGTGAGGCAGTGGTGTGGAAGGACATCCACGCTGCAACCACGGTGAGTCGGCGTCCATGCTGGCCAATGAATAAAATCATTTATTTGAGCCAGCGTGGAGCGGTACACTTCAGCTCTCCTGAGAAGCAAACATCATTTGAGAGTGGCAATTGAAATGCATGACATAAATTCAAGACCACCCACGTTTGCAAAAACTCGAGCATAATTAGAGCAACAAAGAAGACAATCACAAAACCAAAACATTTTGAAAAAACATCCTCAGAGTACCTCTGGGCTAAAGAATCGTAAAACAATTCACCCCAAAGTGGAAATGTATATGCTCTTTAGAACATCTATGACGGTGTTTTTAAGGATTAAAAAGCGAAAAACAACCTACGGTGTGGTCTTATTTGCACTGGCAGGGTTTGGGGCACCTTCATGATGACTTTGTCTTCACAGCTAAATAGCTACATTTTCAAGGACTCGAGATCAAGTCCCGTATTTGTTTTTGCTCATTTAAAGGCTTTTTCTTTTGCTCATCTCAGACTCTTCTACATCAAGGCCAGGTCGATCAAAGAGCCGGATGACATAACAGCTTCTCTCCAACTCAAAACAACTTTTGCTCTTTGTGTTTGAAACGTTATGTCATCAAGTCTACCTGACTGTCAACCTGTTACCATGACACATTTCACACTGGTAACATGAACAGAATCAGGACTTCCTCATCCACAGGAGACCGTTGACTTGGGAGAGATCATGTACTCGCTGTGCTACCTCCCCACAGCGGGGAGGATGACTCTGACGGTCATCAAATGCCGAAATCTCAAAGCCATGGACATCACAGGCTCTTCAGGTACACCCACAAACGCACTCACCGAACCGCACGCCCTACTCGACAGCAGGTGGCCACTTACGAGTGCCATTGGGGAGAACGAAACACAACAGCAGGGTGCCAGGAACTCCTTCATTTCCTAATTGGGAAGAGGGATTGAATAAAAGTCATGACTCACGAGCATGGTTTCAATTATGAAGCTATTCTTAAAAAGACCCACTATGGAGTCAAAAAACAAAAACAAAAAAATCCACATTGTGCAAAAGCACATGCCAAAGCAACAGATGGTGCAACTACTGCGCAAAGAAGGGCCATTTTAGAGACAAATATGTCGACATCTGCCCCACGAGAGACTTGCGAGCAGTATAGGATGTACCCTGCCTCTCGCTCATCGACAGCTTTGTCTTCCAGATCCATACGTCAAAGTCCACCTGATCTGTGATGGACGCAGGCTGAAGAAACGGAAAACCACGACCAAGAAGAGCACTCTGAACCCGGTGTACAACGAGGCCATCATCTTTGACATCCCCCCGGAAAATGTGGAACAAGTCAGCCTCTCCATCATGGTGATGGATTACGATCGGTGAGCATCGGCGCACCGCATCCACGGGCTGAGGCGAGTTGGAGTTATTAGGAACAAAGCGGCAACCACATCTCGCTGGCAGGGTTGGACACAACGAGGTGATCGGTGTCTGTCGCGCCGGGCCGGACGCCGAAGGCCTCGGACGGGATCACTGGAATGAAATGTTGGCTTACCCTCGAAAACCCATCACCCACTGGCATGCCCTAGGAGAGGTAGGTTTTTCTTTTTAAAAATACTTTTTGAACAAGCGTCTGCAATGGACGCCTTTCAGAGCTACGGGACATTGACTGATGCGAAAATTCTATCCACAATGTGCGTTGGAACACATTCTTATCCAACTCTAAGACACAAAACGTCTTCTCCTCTCGAGTCAACATCATTATCATTAAATAGCAATGAATCCGGTGCAAACCACGTTGTACGCAAAAAGTAAACACACTGATTGTGACGTAACAATGGCCTGACAATGTCATTTTTAGCGCGGCCTGTCAAAGCAGAAAACACAAGTCAATACAGGTTTTGTTGTTTTTGCAATCTTTTAGTGGCCTGGAAGAGAGGCGAGCTTCGAGAGTCAAGCTTCATGTCCGTCACCCAAACCTCCACAGACGCCGTGACATCGTGCCAATAAGAATAGATGAAGTTGAGTGCAGGTTGCATGCACCTGAATCCACCACGCGACACCATTTCTATCAACTTTCTGGCTTTCACTTTAACAAAACCTAATTCGACGATCCTGTCCTGATATTCCAGACATTTTTCACACCCTAACATTTTACTCTGAAATGGCACAAGGTGTAAGGGCTACTTGGCTCTGTGCCATACAGGCATTCACTGAGTAAAAAAAAAAATATATCCTGAATGCACCAGGGCTGGCTTCATCTCTCAGTCATAACACAACCAGATCACACCAATAGATCGAGAGAATGTAGCAGATACATGTAGCAGACAAAGAGTATGTACAAATAAATGAAAGAATATTCTATTGACTCCCCCCATGTGATTACTCCTGCCTGTAGTGAGTTGATTATTCAGTCTACAATCAGGGTCAACGTAAAAAGTGAAGTGATTGTTCCGTGCTTTGGTTTTACATTCAACTGAATAACTCGACAGCCTTACATACGAACTAGTACATAATAGATATATATGTACCGTACAGTGAGTTTTCAATGGATGTTTTTAATGTGGATGAGATTTAATGTGTCTGTGATTCAGAAATAGGAATCGTATGTCATCAGTCTAACATCTAAAAACAAACAAAAAAAAAAAAAACAGTTGGTGGATCAATATGATACAACAAAAACCCACCAATGTGCTAGCTTCCTCGCGCTACAAGTACATCGATTCTTTCACTTCGTTCTTTACAGACGAGAGGTTATTCACTTGCAGAAAAGAGAGAGCCTAAAAAGCCAACATTTGGGCATTTAATGTACAGTAAATTTTATAAGTTGAAATTGGGAAAAACATTGAAGATGTACTTATATTTTTTATACAAAGCCATGCAAGTGTTTGATGCATCTCTAACAACTCCGTGTGTTGTCAGTAATAATAATAATTACAAAAACAAACAAAAACCCAAGGCTGTGTACTGTTATCCTGTTAGCACAAGCACACTGTACAATGATGCTTTCTGCCCTCAAAGTCAATGTTTCATTTTGAGCATGCCTCTCATGTCTTTCTTTGGGAAAATCAAAGTTATATGTCGTGTTTACACGTAAGGAAAAAAACAGAAGAGTGTGTGGGCTTGTTGTATTTCTATTGTTTGGTGACAATGGCGTGAAGTTTCTTCGCCGTTCTGGACCACAACATCACGTCATATCCTGCTACGGACAGTTTGTGATAACTTTTGTAACTCAAAGTCTCCATTTGGAATATCATTTATTGTATCAGTTTCATATGTATTTTATCAAAAATAAACCTACAGTGATTATATTTGAATGATCACTGGAGTTTTTTTGTTGTTAATGTTTTTTAAACTCCTGGATGAGACTTACCGAATTTGCTTGACTTCTGGCAGCCTGCAGAGCAGCAACGCCACTTGGAATTTGCAGCCAACCTAAAAATACAACAAAATGAGTTTAGTCTTTTACATTTGTGTTTTTTGTAATCATTCATCTCACAAATTATGATTTATTTATTTTTTAAATTAAAAGCCGCTGTGTGTGCAAAATGTACTCACTGCATCTGGCTTTGAGAAGCCTGTGGAAGGGGAGCAACTCTAGTAGCTTGTGGACAACGAAAAAGAATTAAGTCTTGAAAATAAACAGCAAAGGAAAAGCGGTCGACTTGCATTGATAAGTGCTTTTAAGATGGTTCAGACAAAAACAAAGGCACGTTTTTGATCGCCACACACGAAGAGAGTATTCGGATCCGCTCACACTTTCCTTTTTAAAATTGTCAAAGACCTGCACAATAGGCGGCAATGCTAACGTCGGTGTCCCTTGGCAACGAGCAGTACCAAAGGCCTACTTAGGATGGCCTAATTGCCCCGTACATCAATATGTGTAATTTCAGCTTAAAGGACAGGCGGCGATACCTAACATCTACAATGCAGCTGCTCCATTAGTCACACTTGGCTTTTGTATACAGGACTGCGCAAACATCTTTGTTTGCTCTTCATATTTTAGCAGAGCTATATTAAAAAATAAAATAAAATAAAATAGGACGTGACTCAGAAAAGAGACTTCTGCCAGGGGGGTTTATTCCTCCACTGAGTTTGGGGCAGGTGGAAGTGGTGCTTTTTACAAAAGCGTGTTCAAGTCATACATTTGATCTCAAAATAATTAACACTACGAAAAAGGATCATGATGAAAACAAAATGGTTGATCACCTGCTTCACTGCTTTCAATTCAATGTTTTTGTGGATTATCATTGGGCCAATAAATGGGAGATTTGGCTTCAGAAACACTCGCATGCACATTTACGAAGGAGGAAATTGTGGATTCAACCCGTCAGGTGTTTGCGCTAGCGAGCGTCAACGCCTACATTTCATCATTACTTTCCACTGCACACACGGCGGGTCAGCAGTCACGATGCTAATAGCACGCTGGCACCGCGTACCCCTATATCAAAGACAATCGGTGTGGAGAGGCTAAATGGGCGGACAGTGCAAGCGGCCTTAATGGGTGGCTTTATGGCGGCTCCATTAATGTGAATGATGGCTTCGGGGAGAAATTAAAATTCAAGCTCAAAGTACACATGGTCTTCTGTTTTGTATACAGAGTGAGAGAGAGAGAGAGAGAGAGAGAGAGAGAGAGAGAGAGTCACCATGCTAGGTTATTCCTTGCAAGAAGCTACTGTTCCAAAGATTGTGTTCTGTAAGGTGAAACACGGTGTATATGACGAGTCACATACTGCTTCATTGGGTGTTTTGAAAGGCGCTTATAAATAAAATGTATTATTATTATTATTATTATTATCTGACTGCGTGGACAACAGCAGATTTCTTCGGAAAATTTCCATGATACATGTTGATAGATGAAATGTCTATCTGACTCTCACATCTTGAAATTCACAGATTTTTTTTTTGTGCATGTGGTCAGCTGGCAAGGTGTACCCAATCAAGTATTCGGTAAACGCATGACCATTTCAAATAGAGTAAGCTCAATGATGATGCCTATTAGTTTGCATTTAAGAAAATGTAAGCAATCCAAATAACCGTGTTTGCAAGCGTTGAGTGAGGTGCGGGGGATCGTAAACATATTGACGTGCTGCGCAAATTATAAATAGATGTTTTACCCCATGGCTGCGAGCGTGAGAATCAGCTCTCATCACACGTCCGCCTTCGTTTGATGCATCCTGACAGCAAGAAACAAACAGGAATTATTGTAGCATTTTGGAAGCTGGCGGTCACTCGGAGGTCAATTTCAGAGATTCAACAACAACACGGTTTTAGTGGAAGCAATCCGCGACACCGTGGAAGCAATTTCAACGACGGAAGCAGCTACTGAAAAACAAATCAAGACAGAACTAAAAATTATTTTAAAAACAATTTGAAAAAACAAAAGATAGAGCTTGAAGTTTTCATCACGAAACGCTCTCATGTACCGTCTGACTCTGCAATTCTCAAATCAAAGTCAAGAACCACGATGAGAGTACTTTGAGTCCCAATGAAAGTGTTCCGCCCCACTCCACAACACGTCTTACAACTATAAAGTGCTAATAAAGTGTGATTCATCCATCGCCGTCATCGTGACAAATCTCGATGATGAGCGCACGTGTGTGGGAGTGGGCATGAATCACCCAAGACTACGACAGTGGAACGTGAGCGTGAATCTAAATGCGGCACCATTCATAATCCGCCGGTCCACGACAAACCGGTCGGGAACAAGATGTGACCTGCCTCAAGTGAGCTACGGTATTAGAGGCATGATACCAATAGTCAAGTCATGATATGAAACTTTTGTGCTCAAAGGCCACGTTTGATTTTTAAAAAGGGGCAGAAATTCCGAGAAAAAAAAAAAGTTGTACTGCAGTATCTATTTATGCTCACTGCGATTAGGGTCCAAAGTCAGCTGGGATACAAATGGATGAACGAACGGTTCATATTAGTTCCCATTTACAGTATAGCTAATTCGATTATAATTAAATGCAGATAACAAAATGCTTATTTTGTATCACAATACATAATCAGTAGCACTAAATGTAATCAAGACATTTGGCTGAATACAATCAGGAGAAAATTGAACCCCAGTTGAGGCTTGTCAATCTCTGTGGCACAGATACTACTACCTCATTTGCGGGAGCTAACGAGTCTGCCCCCCAAGGGAGTGTTTTCTTTTCGAGCTCAACACGATTCATCACCATGCTTGCGGGATGCACAGCAGGTCAGGTAGATTAAGTGTACACCTCCCATCAGGTACCTGTCGTGTCATTGAGCGGAACATGCTGTTCTTTGGACGCGTGGTCGGAAAGCCCATTAAGATGTCCCTTCGGTCCATTTTTCTCGCCACCCCTTCCACGTCATCATCGATACAAAGTGTCCACTTTGAAGCTGGAGAAGCAGAGTGGACGCGTTAGTGGGTGGAGAGCTGACAGCGCGGACGGACTCTCCCAGTCTCCATGGTGACCGGGTAGCATACAGCCACATCTGGGAAAGAGTTCTGTCATGGCCTGTCTCCGGCCTTGAGGCGTAAAGTCCATGGACTGAGAGTGAAAAAACTCAGGCGGGCAGAAAGGCTGATGCACTTTAGGCTTAAGTACACGCCACTTGCTCTAGAATGGTGAGCATTCCCCTTGAGTGACAACTTGCTTCAATTGTCCAGCATCAAGTATCTGTTTAAGTTCTTGAGTGTCCTTTCAGAATTGGCATTTTCTCGACCATCATTTTGCAGGAATACGTTCCCCAAAACGATGATTTGAAAAGGCACGCCACACACAAAACTGGTGTTAAAGCCAGGCTACGCCAGTGTGAGTGAAGACGACGAGCACATGAATCGGAAGGGCGGCCAAATGAATCTCAATGTTGGTCCTCTCATACTGCTTAACAAGGTCGAGTTGTATACAGACGGGATTGTTAAAGTGCAAAATTCCGTATTATTATCTTTGTAAAGGTACAATTTGTGATGCGGCTCTTGTACTGGGTCTCCATAGACTGCAGGTATTTTTTAAGCGGCAGTAACTTCAAATTAAATCAGCAGTGTGTGTATGTAAATGTTGCATGTAGTCACAAAAGGCAATGAAAAAAATTGTGGAATAGACAGTAGATAGCAAGGCAGCTTTATTTTTTTATTGCACATTTCATACATAAGCAAACTAACATGCATTTGCATCATTAAAAGCACATCATTGACAAAATAGGGAGATGACTAAAATTACGAAAAGAATGCACAGTTCAAGAAAAAATATTTTGGAAAATGTGATTTTAACCATGCTCTACGAAACCTCAATCATAGGCATCGGGTAAATGCATGCCACCAAACAAGGTTGAATATTCTTAATGTGAACAAACGATAAAGGTGAGTTCATGAGTCGCCATTAGGACAGGTGCTGGCTAAAAAAGGTCTTTGTGTTTTCCCCATGCGGTCACTTCCAGGATCCGGACTTTCCCTTGGCGCCACGTGAGGTCTTGGATGCCTTGGACCCTCGCTGGTGGTCACTGACGCGGTTCCGCAGCACATATATGTCATACTTCTGCCGCTTGAGCTTCTCGGCGAGCTCAAACTTCTCGGCATGAAGCTGGTACAGCCACAGACACAGGTCTTGCGCCTTCTCAGCCAGCTTGTCCTGATTGAGGTGGTCGATGTTGAGCGGCTTGCGGCGCTCCAGCAGCGCCTTCTTCTTCTCCTCCCGAGCCGTCAGCTTCTTGCCCTTCTTCTGGTCCACCTTCTGTAGATAGCCGCCAAAGGACTTGTTGGTGAACATCTTCTTCTTCTTGGCCTCCTCCTCAGCACGCAGCTTCGCCGCTTCCTCCTCGCGCCGCACCCGCTCCTCCGTCAACCGGGCCTGACGTTCACGCTCTTGCTCGGCGCGCTCCCGCTGCTGTTCGGCCCGGTCCGAGCGGCGCCGCTCGATGCGATTGCGCAGGGCTACCAGTTCCTCCTCCTCCTTTTGTCGGTTGGAGAAGTGCAACTCTATGAGGCCCTGCAGGTCATTGAAGTCTTTCTCGACGCGCTTGCGGTGAAGGTCGTCAAAATCGACCTTCTCACCGTCCGGCAGCTTGGGTGGGGCGATGTTGGGCACATATGTGGTCTTGGGTCGAGGTTTGGACTCTTCCTCATGCGCCTTTTTCTCACACTCCTCCACCTCTTCTTCCTCGTCCTCCTCATCCTGATCATACTCCTCCCGCTCCTGCTCCTTCAGGCTCTCCTCAGCGTCCGACATGTCCTTCTGGAAGCTGACAGACCACCAAGATCGTCTGATGTCTGAAGACTGCCCTCTGGCTCGTGCTGATTTGACTCTTTTAATGCTTTGCTGGGATCATGTGACACACCCAATTTTCCACAGGAAAGATTAAAAGACAGATGGGCGCAGCTATTTTCTCCAAGTCTTTCAGCCGAGCCCGCCCCTCCCCAAAGACCCCCTTGCTCCCCTCCAATCCGACGGCGCTCCTCATTCCTTTGTATGGACACCATGAGAGACTATTTCGGAGGCACAACAGATGCACTACACAGGTTCACAGAGGGGTTAGCCTTAATTCATTTCATCTGTCCGTGACTTTCCATTCATCCATCTATGCATCTACACATCCATCTGTCAACATTTGCATGTGTCCGTCGGCGCTCTGGAATGTAATTAAAACTTTGCAGCTTTTCCCAGGCTCTCGGCGCAGTGGATTAGCGCAAAAAATTGCTCCTGCGCGCCGACATTTAAATAGTGACGTGAAGGAAGGGCTTCCCAAGTCTTGTGGTTATTTGTGGAAAAGGACAAACGGCCCCTTTGGGAAGAATGAGCTAGCCAAGTGACGGCAGGGACAGGTGCTCTCTCTCTTTCTGGCGTCCGGGAATCCCAATTAAAATGGTCCCTCTGCGCCTCCTTCTAGCCAACAGAATTCATTCAGCTTGGGTTGAGTTTCAGGCTGGCTCGAAACCTCCACATGAAAATAAGCTAACGAGACCTTATGATGCCGCAGGGAAAAGCCGGACACCCGGCGGGGACTGCCTATTGAGCAAACATGCAGCAGTGCAAAATGAGCGCAGCAGGTGCTCCCGGCCCGCCAAGCAGAACACTCTGCTTGGCTGATTGAATATCTTGTTCATTCCTCTTGCATTGCTTGGACATATATAAAATGTAATCAATTTATTGGTGACAGTAAGCTTATCATTTTGAATTAAATCTTTTCAATGTATGTTATTGCTGTTGCACAAGAAGTAGAAACATTTTGCTTGGGAACCCAATTTGGTCAGGGGAGGCCCTGCATAAAATCGGGGTTTAAATTTATTTTAAGGCAAAATCTATGCAGTTTGGTACCTTTGTCTTAATATGCAATGGTGTGAAAGTAACAGGAAGCATGCAGGAGGCCTTGAAGGACCTCTACTGGCCAGTATTGTGTAGTACAGCACAGTCTTTTATTGTAAATGGTGAAAAGGAAGACACACATTTTTTTTTTTCTGGAGTCTGGGCAGCTGAAATAGTCATCTACCCATCCACCAGGAAGGCTAAAATTGATATTTAAACCCAGAACCTCATACTAGTTAGGCAAACGTGGGGAATCCAAAATGAGAAGTTTCATCCCCCCCAAAAAGTCGCATTACTCACCCGTCACAATGGAATTTGACTCCAGAAGTGAGGTGGAAATGTACAGGTTTCCTGCTTCGTTGAGCTAGGCAAGGGATTGAAAAAAAGAAATAGCCTTAGATCAACAACAACTGATATTCTAATATTCATTTAATTACGACAAAATGAGCACCTGAAGTACAAGGGATAGTTAACTAGCATTAGCATTCATTGACAGTTTAACGGTACAGCGTTCCTTGCTTTTCACCTAATTTAGTCAACTTGTATCATACCAAATGTACCAACTAAAGAGGCGCATTCGCTGAACTTTTTTGTCGAGTTTCGTCGTGTTTGTAGTTTCGTCGTGTTTGTCGAAACGCTAATTAATAGCTCGTTCAGCTAGCATAGCTAGACCAAAAAAAGCTTAAATGGAGCGGAGTGGATTTGGCGTCATATTTAATAAACTATTTTGGCAACAAAGTTCCTACAATTTATGAACATAAATATGTACACGCTGTGAAAACGTTCTCCGTCAAAATATACACGTAATTTCTTTATGTTGGCTTGCCTGATGGTGCTTGCTGTCCGATTCATTCGCCGAGTCACGATGATAGTCAGGAGGACGACACAAAATGGCGGTTCATTAAGTCTTCGGACAAATAAATGACTGACCAATATGACTATAGTTTGAACGGCGATTTTATTCTGTTTTGAAACTTTATTCTGAAATCATACAAGTGCCCTGTAACTATTTTATGCAGCTGGTTTTAAACCCTATTTTTAACCCTACCCTGAGCGTGAAACATAATCTTTTTTTTTTAATGTATACAATGTGATGATTGTAAGTGTAAATAAAATACATTTTGACTCCATATTTTAAAAAATGAGTGCAACTCAAGTGCATTTAAGCCATTTTAATGAAACAAGTACATTTAGAAACAGTTGTTTGCAGTTGTGGGTTGGAGGTCATACACTAGTGGGAAGGTGAGGTGTGGGGCACAAGGATATGAATTGTGGGTAATAGGCCATCATAACAAGGTCAAAGTGATTTTGCATCGACAGTGGGAAACACAACCGTCAACCAGCACTGAAACACTTTGTTGTTAAATAGGCTCAAACAGGAGGAAATGAATGAGACAGCAAGATTTTCATGATACGTTTTTTTTTCCCGTTTAATGGAGACCTTTTTAGTTGCATTTTTGGGGGAGAAAAAAAATTCCCCCAAAAGAAACATCCACTCATGACTTTTGTATCATATCAAAAATATATATAATGGATCTATGACGCTACACAAAGATCAAGAACGCACATACAATAGTCAAATATGTACAAGTTGTATGTGAGTTGAATTTTTGAAAATTCTTCATATACACACGACGGCCTTCTTTGCAATCACCCGCCCTTCCGAAGAAGAAACAGTGCGACGTTCTCCGGGGATGTCGGCATTTGTAATAACATATTTGATTACTTCATAGCAGGCGAGGGTATCGCCGCATGAAGATTACTGCAAGACCCAAAAGACACAAAAGAAATGTGAGTGTTGTAAATTCATGGCGGCGCGTAAAAGTGGAAAGAACAAAATAAACTTTTTTCATATATATTTGCTCTCTTCTGTGGTTAGTGTCTCTGGACTTTGGAGCTTTTGCCATTTCCGGAGTCCTCGCAGTGACGCTTGCTGCTCATCGAAGCGCTGCTGGAGTGATGCTCCAGCCCTAGAGAGACAAATTAAAAAGTTAGAAAAGTAAGAATAGATTAGAATAGAATCAATTACAGTGCAGGGTTTACCTTTTCTACATTTAAACACATGTTCAAACTGTGTATGATGTTACAACGATAATATTAAATGTACTCCTTTGGAATAAAACCTCTGCTTTGTTTTTGATAAACACTGATTTATATACATTTTTTTTCTATGAAAACTAAGTCCTTCAGCTTTATTCTAATACATTATGCTCGTGCCCATCCCTATTGCACTGTACTTTTATCTTGTAATCTATTTCAAAGGAAAAGTGACCTTTGTGAAGCGTGGGACTCTGGTGGCTGCCTTGAGGGTAGCACATCATGCTGGAGCTGACGTAGCCTGGAAAAATAAAAGCAGCGTGAAGGACTACAACTCCACAGGCAATGACATATTTTACGAACAGTATAGTCGCATTTTCCTACTACCTTGCTGATGCGCGCCCACGCCGCCTTGGGAATCCCCGAGCTGGTACATCATGACACCGCCGTTCTGCCAGTCAGCCTGCGTTTGTACCGGCATGGGATAGCCTGCAGGTATAAAAGATCACTTAGCAAGTCTGCAGAAGACGTCAGACTAAACCTTCCTATATTTGGTTTTTGCAAAACAGTGATGAAAGCTCCAATGGTGGGTTTGGGTTAAAAAACAAAACAAAAAAACACCACAATTTCATACTTTTCATAATTAGGAAGGCTGGAAGAAAAAAGATGACTCACCGGAAGACGTAGCAGCGGTCACGGTGGCGGCAGTGGCTGCGTCACAAGGAGCTTCAACAGAATATCCCATTACCTCTGACGATGGCTTATTGTTTGCATTGGATGAGGAGGGAACGGACGCCAGGAGACCTGCAGAATAACGCCGATACAAAATAAGCGAGGGGATGCGTGACGTTTGCTAGTGAAATGTACAGTGTACAATTGAAGCGAGCGCGTCAGTCGGCACTCTGCATTTCTTACCGAGGCCTCTGTAGCAGGACAGCTGCTGGTAGATCTGCTTCATGCGCTCAATGTTGAGGCGGCTGGCCTCTGCGTGGTGCACCATGGGCTTGGGGTAGTGCACGCCCACGATGCAGCGCGCAGCCTTCTGCACTGCCTCCGGCGCGTTCCACGGGTCGTAGATGTACTTGGCCGGGAAGCCCCGCAGCACGGGCAGGTAGCGGCGGATGTAGTCGCCGTTGGGGTCGGTGCGGCGGCCGAACACCACAGGGCAGTAGCAGTGGAAGAACTGCTGGAAGAAAGAGCTGCAAGAGAGCCACATCCAGCTGCCGGCGTTTACGCTCCAGTCGGCATCCAGCAGCAGCTCCTCGAACACCTGCACACCATAAAACAAAGCAAGCCATCAAAATTGCCCGCCCGACACGCAACCTAAATCTTTTTAATTTGGCAACCGCCATCTTTCTCGTATAGGAGCTTCCAAATAGGGAGCTGTGCGACAAAATCGCTAGGCGTCGTGGGTCTTCGAAGGAGCGCTGGAAATGGCCACCATGGGCCAAAACGAAGCTTAGAACGTCCGCCTTCCCGTGCCTACCTTCATGCCCTCCTCCCAGCTGATCCACAAGTCTCCGCGGGTCAGGAAGCAGGCCACGGCGTGCCGGGCCAGGTGGTGGATCCAGCCCTCCTGGCGCAGCTGTGTCATGATGGCATCGATCCAGGGGAAGCCGGTGCGTCCCTCGGCCCACTTGGCCAGCGCCTCTGCGTTGCGGTCCCACGGGATCTGCACGCAGATGGGGTTGCTCTCCATCTTGTCGAAGCACGGGTTGTTGGTAGCCGCTGTGTAGAAGAACTCGCGCCACAGCAGCTGGCCGTACAGCGACAGTGGCGGCGAGCTGTTCTTCTTCACCTTTGTTTCAAAGGACGAGTTAACAGAGTCAGCCAAGCGAGTCATGACGAGACCTGTGCAGCTTGAAGTGGGCCTCTTTCAAAAATGAAACACCAGCCATGACATTCCACTGAGCGTGACCGCTCAGAGCGGCCCGTGCGGGCTCAATAGCATTGCTCAATATTGACAATTTGTTGAGAAAAAAAATATTTGAACGGAATTGTGTTCAATGTAATTGCGTCCATCTAGAAGGAAGGACGAGCCCTCCGTACCTTCCTGTAGAGGTCGGTGAGCTTAAAGTAGAAGAGGCGACACGAGAGGCATCCGAATCTCAGGTAGGGGCTGAGGCCGGTGGGGCTGGCCAGGAGTGAGTTGGCGTTCATGCGAGGACGCTCGAAGTTGGCCACCCACGCCTGTGGCAAAGAGAAGAAACCAGGATTGGCAAGTGCGCTCGCTCGGGCAATGAGCATTAAACGTCCTTTGATCTTGTCTGACGTGACAAACCTTCCTCTCCAGGTGCCTCTCAAGTCTTGTGAGGGCTTCGGACTCGCCTCCGGGCCACACGGCCGACGACAAGCCCTCAGTGTCGAAACCTGCAAGAGGAACGTCAAACGTTCGACGTGGTATTCCTGACGTCTCGGCGAACCCCTCTTCCACTCTACTGACCTAGCTCCTCCAGGGACGGCACCCCGAATTTGTCATCGTGGTCGTCCGAGAGCGGCGTGTTGCACTTCCCCATCACCTCGGCCGTGATGAACTCGGCCGGCACCTCCACGGCGTCCATACGGCTGATGAGGGTCTGGAAGCGTTTGTAGGTGAGCGGCGACTGACCGCCGTTCAACTCGATGATCCTGCAGTTTCAAATTTGAGTTCAGCGGCGGTCCAACGCTGACTGCGGGGGCGGGAGCAAGAGGCGGGGGGGCTCATCTTCTTACTTGTCAAGATCGTAGAGGGTGTGCGAGATGCGCACCGTCACCTCCACGCCGGCCTCGGAGGCCAGCTTCTTGATGGCGGCATCCCGCTCCTTCCCGAAGGGCTCCGAGTCGTACTCGTAAGACAGGCGGGATATGTTCCACTCCTGGAGAACCAAACGACACCAATCAGCCAAGGGCACAAATGTCAAGTGCACAAACAACGGCCCAATCAACTTCAACAAATAGATGTCAGATCTACTGAGGTCAAAGTTGACAGGAACAAGAATCGTCAGCGGCGTTTGGCACTGCTTTGTGCCCGCCTGTCACACTCAAACGTCATGCGGGCGTCCCAACCTTGAAGAGTCTTGGAAAGACATCGGTGGGCTGGCCCCGGATCACAAACAGACGGGAGTTGAGCTTGCGCAGGTTCGAGTCCAGGTCCTCCAGACTCTGCAGCAGGAATCTGCGGGAGGGGACAGACGACAGAAATATCAACTTGCAACATTTCCCTCCAATGCTCTCAATGTACAAAATATGGGAATCGCAAACGAGAAAATGTCAGCCGTGCACAGTGTGCAAGCGGGAGCATCCACTCATATCAACTGGCAGGTGCGTTGGGCTTGTGTAGGTGGCGGAAAAACAACTTTTTATCCGCCTAACACACACACGCACACACACACACACACACACACACACAAACACATACACACACAGTAAGCGGCACTAACATGGAGCTTCCCGTGCTGTTGCCATGGCAACTAAAGTTGGGGAGGTGAAAGCCTCTCGCTCGGGTTCACAGTGCTACATTATTGACACACCAAGCAAACTGTCAAGCGTAATTGAGTGGTCGGAAAAAAATGATTTAAAACTTTCAAAGTCTTTTCTAGACTTAAAAACCTTTCAGTGAACTCCCAAGCATACTTTCTTGGGAAATTCTGGAAAAGTTCATCATGATGGGCTTTGTCGGGATGAGCGCTCTCCCTACTCTGCTCTGATGAGACAGTTGCGAGGCCTGGGGGGGTTTCTGTGTGGAATCAGGTCACAAAGGCTCAGAGAAAGGCGAGGAGCAGGAGTTTGGGGGTGGTGGGGTCTAGTAACACACTGACCCACTTGTGTAACACAGACACAACTGGGGGTTCATCTCGAGTGTTCACTCGCTGAGATCTACAATCAAGTTTCCTCTCACGCAGTGGCCGAGGCTTTCTATTCACGCATGACAAAAGGCGTCTGCGTCAGGAGTTGCGTAACCAACATGGATGAACACTGTTACATGCTCGCGTGGGACCACCCCCGACACCATCCCCATTTAACCTGAACATTCACACACTCCATCAATTCGGCCTCACTTTCACATTTCAAGATATTAAATATAAACTTTAATTGACTGGCCAATGGTCATCGGAATTTTATTTTGCCAAATATCGTCATCGGCCTTTAAAAAAAAAAAAAAAACACATCGGTTGGGCCCACATTTGTGTGGGACAGTCACAGCGTCCTGATTCCAATTCAGCTGTGTTTAACTTGTAAGTTTAACACCTTTGCATTTCATTCTTTGGAATACCTAGTATTTATTGCATGTTTCATTTAACTTTTACGTACATTAATTTAGAGTGAATCACTGTAAAAGTACAGTTTCTGTGTTTCTTTACTTTCCTGTCCACTGGGCATTTTGTGTGGATCTACACATCGTGTAAAAAGTTTGTGCACCACTGCTATGAACCCTTGCCAGTCATTCCAATGTGCATCTAAATCATATAGTTATTTGCGCGTGTACATTGTAAGTGTCCTCATACGGAGAGAGTGCATGTGAGTGTGGGGAGTTTGCGGTAGGCTCACCTCCACCTGTTGATGCCTACGTTGGACGAGCCTGCAAACCAGGGGTCGAGGATGTAGATGCAGCGGACGGTGTCGGCCCCCAGCAAAGACTCCTTGAGGGACGGGTTGTCGTGGAGCCGCAAGCCCTTCCTGAACCAGTGGATCGTATTCACGACCATCACTCAAATGGATGGAAGCCTCACGAATGGAAATGGCCTTTGACTGATCTTCTTAATCTGGCCTTATTTACACTAACACAAATCCGGGCGCAATAATCACTAATAGGGAATCCCAATTAGTTTTTGTTTTTAAATCTGTAAATATGGTGGCCAAGGTGTGGAGGAGTTAACCTTGCTCTAATAAAACCTTTTCCATGGTGACGAAGAATTTAAAACGTGTCAGAGTCTGAACCATTTGGCCCTCAAGAAACTGCGCGCACTCCGCGGCAACGTGACAGGCAAGCCGGCGGGTGTTAGGACCTGCGCGGCGGGCAAACAAGGCAGCCTCGTTGTATAACTTGTTTTTCGAAAACCTTTTAAAAAACAAGCAAAATTACGCCGATTCAAATTATTTTTACGCGTATTTGCACCCAAATAACATGATCTTGTCCAAAGCTGCAACAAGAGATGCTGTTACCGAGTTTGCTATTCGTTCGCAATGTCCCCGCCACAACAAGGGAGAAGATGGTTATGTAAATACACGTAGCAAGAGCGATTAATTCAAAAACGACGATCGATTACAACCCAAATTTACACTTATCTCTTCTAAATGTCTCCTGGATCTTTGTGCCTCGTGTCCGACGCGGCTGGACTAGAGTTTTGGCTGTTTTTACGGCTGAACTCCCTCCGCAACGTTCACAAACGTCAACTTAGTCCTCGCGCCGCACCTTCTACCTTAGTCCCGCCTACTGGGTGACGCATGGTGCTGTGCGACCTGTGATTGGCCCGATCGCCCCCAACGCAGTCACGTTTCAACAGCGTGGTTTCCTCACTGGACAACACGAGAGAAGCTTCACAATCATGTAACAGTGGTGCCGATGACGTCTTGTGACCCAATTACTGGAATATCAATCCGCATTCTAGTTTCTATTTCACTTAACGTACATCGATCGTAAAAAAATACTCATCATTAATAGTACTGTCAAAGAAAATACAAATATATACAGGTATACGTACTTAGGCCGGGACACTCGTTGGCGGGGGTAGATTAGACTTCCGGGTTCAGAGGTCGTGCGTGAAACCTACCTATGTGACATTTCGCTGTAATACCACAATTACATTTTTTATTTCGCTTTATTCACCTAAATGTAAAATAAAGAAAACCTTGCAACCATACAGTAATATTGTAAAAAATTCAATAAAGTGGCTACGAAATAATTTAGTGGGCCCACTTACGTCATTTAAGAGTCACCCTGTTTTTTTATGAATCATTTCACTTATTAATGTTGAAAATTGTAATGTAGCTAAGATCTTCAACGTGTAATTACGTGTATAATTGTTTTATAACCGTATTACTACTTCTTATGTCACTTTTAACTTTTTTTCCTCCACAAGATAACCTTACATAAATACTCCCGTAATTATGTAAGGGAACTTACGCGGGCACGTGTGTGGGCATTGACGCATTTCGTCCACTGGGTGGGGGTAAAAAACAAGGCAGAGTGGAAGTAAGAAAGGGCAGAAGTGAGGAAACAAGGTATGCATGGAAGGAAAGCTGAAGGATGGGGCAGATCGGCGTCACAGTTTATACGGCTCCAAATATGGCCCTGGTTCAAGTTAGGAGAGTTGCTCTGGATGGCTAAAATTTTACTGACGGGGACATAAATTGTTACGAGGTACTCCCAGTGGCCCCGTTCGCGCCAGATGTTGCGCCAAAGTCCGCAAGCCCGTAAAATAGTTTGACTACAGATTTGCAAGCCTTTGCTTTGTGGCCTAAAGTGGAGCACATGTAAGCAGGCTGCAAATATAATACAAACATTGCAGCACATACGTGATGCTTTAAGTGCAGTTTTACAACCCAACGCTCACCTGGGAGTCAACTAATGAGTCAAGAGAACAATATAAACGTGTCTTTTTTTCGATGTGCCACACTGGCAGTTATGGATGGGTGAAAAGTGTTTCGCAGTTGGGAGACGGTCGCGCAGTTTGCGCATTTTGTGCACCCCGAAATTGTGACACGTGTACGGCATCGCTATTTGTGCAGGTTGTTTTGCAGCTGTCAATCAAGACGGACTCCTCCTCCTCGTTGTTCTCGAGGAGCCAAGCGCAAGCCCGCAGAGCGTCGAGGCGAAGGACGGAAGCAGGCAAAGTTTCCCGCCGGCCGATGTCGCAGCAAACGCGGGCAATGACGCGCGCGTCACCGTAAAGAGCCCAGCACGGATGGGTTTTTGAAACGCGCGCTGGCACGCACGCACGCAGCAGTATGCGGCGCCGCGATGGCAGGCAACGCTAAGAGCACCGCGGCGAGGACACTGGAGGACTTAACGCTCGATTCCGGTTATGGTGGCGCGGCGGACTCGGTCCGGTCGTCCAGCGTGTCGCTGTGCTGCTCCGACCCGCCGCTGCAGTCGCTTTCGCACGGCGGCAACCGCTGGCATCTGACGGGATCCATGCACAGCCGACAGAACAGCTTGGACACGGTCAACACCGTGCTGGCCGAGGACTCGGAGGCGCTGGAGTGCGCGGCCCAGCTGTGCGCCAAGCTGCCCGAGCCGGAGGAGGTGCCGTGGAGCCTGGCCGAGGTGGAGGGCGCGCTGCGGCGGCG